CGTGATGTACAAAGGACGAAAGAGTAGATATGCAATATTGAGCGAAAATGGCGATAGGCGGGTGATCGTGGCAAAAATAAATTATAAAGAGAATTAACTCGATTGCATCCCGCTTCCCGTTCCAATAAACTTTTAAAATTTCGCAGGCCTACAAATGTTTGTCTCTCATTTATTAATATGAAAACATCGGATAAATGGATGCATAAAAAATAAGAATGATCATGAATTACACCAAATCGGCTTTTCCGCTTTTTTCGGACGCAAAATCGTGAGATCTCCACGACCCATGCGTTTTCAAAACGTCGGTTCTCCGGTCGTACCAAAATCGATTATAATCTAGTCAAGTCCATTTAAAAGTACTGAAATTGATGCTTCATTCAGTATATTTTTAGCCTACTGATTTGATTTTAATTTAAAGTGCATAAACATCGTAATTAAAAAATTTGAAAGGCTTTCTCGAGCGGATGAAAAAATATTCGAAGTAAAATTATTTGGCCGAATAGCTCATTCTTGAATTGCTTGAATTACTTGAATCTAGAACTGGGGTCTTAGGAAAACGGGATGCTCCATGCTTCTTCGCCCCTCTTCATGAGGGTCCATTTCAGTGTGGGCAGGCTGATTGTCTCCATCATCAGCTGGTTGTTGTAGCGACCGATGGGGCCACGTAGCCTGCTCTTCCTACCTTCACCAAGCTGCACCCCTTTCGCGATCACAACCTCCTTCGTGAAGGAGTCCTCGTCACGGCAGCTGGCTAGGTTTTCTCGGACAAGGGCTACTACAGTTGGAGGGTCAAGGGTAAGCACTCCCTCTATGTTTGTGGGGCCTGCTAGCTTATCTGCTATTTCTTTTCCCTTGACTCCTGCATGTCCTAGGCAGAAGATCCACTGCACACGTCTGATTTTGCTGTCTTGGGTTGTCTTAAACCAATCTGCTTAAAGGCTGCCAGTCAAAATTTTATCCAGAGTACTCATTGAGTCTGTAACAAAGAGAGCCTGCTGGTATCCATTAGTGCAAAGCCATTTCAGAGCCACAGTGATGGCCTTGATCTCCATGCACATGCCTGATGTAGTGAGGCCCGTTGCCCCAGATGCCTCCTGGACTGTTACTCCTTGGCAAGAAGCCTTGTAAGCCCAGCCTGATTTGATCCCACGTTGAACAGAGCCACCAGTGAAGATAATGGTTTCATCCTCTCTGCAGTTATCTTCAATTAGAGTTCGGATTTCAGCATGTGTTGCTCCTTCAGGCTATTCACGACATTCACGCCCTAATGTAGCAATCACGTGAGTGAATCTGTCTTTCACCTCGTCTGCAAGCGGTACCCATGTCTCCCCTCGTCTGATTGCTCCTACAGTAAGACCACACTCTTCAAATGTCTGCACTGCCTGGGTCATCCACTCCGTGCCCCGTTTAAGTCTTGGGTTAGTCTGACTACCTACTTTGTCTGTTGTTACAATATTCTCCAACGCTTCTTTCCACGTTGTGTTTCCGAAGAAATTTGCCTGTCGCTTCAGTATACTCGTCATATTAAGCTATCTTCTGCAATTTGCTTGAAACTAGACTTCTTCATTTGTTTTTCTTGCTCTCCATGGGATACGTAGCATGTGTCTTATGAACCACATCTCTGTCGCCTAGCACATGGTACCCTAGTTTAAATGATAATATTATAAACTTAGATCTATTAATACATGGGACCTTGGATCAACAAGATCAGATCCAACAATAGACCCATGTACTTCAAAACAATGCCGCTAGACTGATAACAATATCTAAAAAACGAGACCATGTCACTCCATTATTAAAAGAACTGCATTGGCTCCCTGTAAAAGAAAGAATAATATTTAAAATCTGCGTCATGTGTTTCAAATGTGTAAATAAAACTGCTCCTTTTTATCTACAAGAACTTATCAGTATATAGAAGCCAGGGAGAAACCTAAGATCACCCAACGATAACACCCTGCTTGTGACACCTGTAAAATCATACAAATCATATGGAGAGAGATCCTTCTCATATCTTGGTCCAATTATGTGGAACAGATTACCCATGAAACTAAGACAAATGAAAACACTCGATGGCTTCAAAAGACATCTTAAACATTTTCTGTTCCTACAGGCCTATCCTTCATAAGCTTTTAACGTTATTTTTCATTAAAGTTGTTCTGTTCCTATGTCTGGATGAAAATAATCTCTGTGTGTGTGTGTGTGTGTGTGTGTGTGTGTGTGTGTGTGTGTGTGTGTGTGTGTGCGTGTGTGTGTGTATGTGTGTGTGTGTGGGCATTAATGTATATTGCATGAGAAGAAAGGAAGTAGTAAGAAAGGTTTTTGAAAAATGGGTATTCCAATGTAAAGCGCATTGAGCTACATTTTTGGAAATGCGCAATATAAATGTTACATATTATTATTATTATTATTATTATTATTATTATTATTATTATTATTATTATTATTATTATTACTTCGGAACGAGCAAGGTCGTAAAATTCAAACCCTGGCCGTAAAGAGATAGCTTAGCCAAGTTTGCTCTGTCACTATATTAAACAAATGCAGGCCCACCCACGTAATGTAGCCATCTCGCATCCAATCACTCCTCATCATTAGTGCTTGAGGCGGCCTGGCTTCTCGTGCAGTGAATGTCCTTGATGATGATGATGATGGTCATATACATTATATAACATGTGTTGTGTTGTAAATAAAATATCAGCTGGATAACATGATAGGCCCTAACCTAGGCGAGACTAGACCTTACAAAACAAGGCTGTCGTTTAGTGTAATTGTGTATAGTCATGTCTCGTCTCATAGTTGTAAGACAGCTGTAGCGTGTGGTGACGATTGCCCATAATATCGGAAATAAAATAAATAATCTTCTTTGGATACACACACACACACACACACACACACACACACACACACACACACACACACACACACACACACACACACACACACACACACACAAACACATACACACACAAACGCACACACAGACACACACATTCGGTCAAAAAAGGATTGGACCCACAATTAAAACATGACAACAATGACCAATGCCATGTATTCATAGATTCTAAACTTCCTTCGCTACATGACCTGCGATCCAGGGTACATAACAAACTGGACTTTATACATGTTTTTATTATGTTAGCCGCTGATTGACTTTATATGGTGCATTTGTTAGCACTCTTTTTAAAAAATCTAGTGGTATTTTTACTCCCC